CACTGTACGTTCCTCCATAGGTGTGTCTCACATTTCACGCAACTCTAGCAGTTAAACACACTGTACGTTCCTCCATAGGTGTGTCTCACATTCACGCACCCTCTAGCAGTAAACACACTGTACGTTCCTCCATAGGTGTGTCTACATTTCACGCACCTCTAGCAGTTAAACACATGTACGTTCCTCCATAGGTGTGTCTACTTTCACGCACCCTCTAGCAGTTAAACACACTGTACGTTCCTCCATAGGTGTGTCTCACATTTCACGCACCCTCTAGCAGTTAAACACACTGTACGTTCCTCCATAGGTGTGTCTCACATTTCACGCACCTCTAGCAGTTAAACACACTGTACGTTCCTCCATAGGTGTGTCTCACATTTCACGCATCCTCTAGCAGTTAAACACACTGTACGTTCCTCTCCATAGGTGTGTCTTACATTTCACGCACCCTCTAGCAGTTAAACACACTGTACGTTCCTCCCACAGGTGTGTCTCACATTCACGCACCTCTAGCAGTTAAACACATGGACGTTCCTCCATAGGTGTGTCTACAGTTCACGCATCCTCTAGCAGTAAACAACACTGTACGTTCCTCTCATAGGTGTCTCACATTTCACGCATACTCTAGCAGTTAACACACTGTACGTTCCTTCCCATAGTGTGTCTCACATTTCCTCCCCTCTAGCTTAAACACACTGTACGTTTCCTCCATATGTGTGTCTCACATTTCACGCATCCTCTAGCAGTTCAACACACTGTCGTTCCTCTTCCATAGGTGTTCTTACATTTTCACGCACCCTCTAGCAGTTAAACAACCTGTACGTTCCTCATAGGTGTGTCTACATTTCACGCACCCTCTAGCAGTTAAACACACTGTACGTTCTCCATAGGTGTGTCTTACATCACGCATCCTCTAGCAGTTAAACAACACACTGTACGTTCCTCCATAGGTGTGTCTTACATTTCACGCACCTCTAGCAGTTAAAACACACTGTACGTTCCTCCATAGGTGTGTCTCTACATTTCACGCCACCCTCTAGCAGTTAAACACACGTACGTTCCTCTCCATAGGTGTGTCTACATTCACGCACCCTCTAGCAGTTTTAAACACACTGTACGTTCCTCCATAGGTGTGTCTTACATTTCACGCACACATCTAAGCAGTTAAACACACTGTACGTTCCTCCATAGGTGTGTCTCAATTTCACGAATCCTCTAGCAGTTTAAAACACCGTAACGTTCTCCATAGGTGTTGTCTCAATTCAAGCACCCTCTAGCAGTTAAACACACTGTACGTTCCTCTCCATAGGTGTGTCTTACATTTCACGCACCCTCTAGCAGTTAAACACACTGTACGTTCCTCCATAGGTGTGTATTATCACGCACACTCTAGCAGTTTAAAACAACTGTACGTTCCTCCATAGGTGTGTCTCACCTTCCACGCACCCTCTAGCAGTTTTAAACACACTGTACGTTCCTCCATAGGTGTGTCTCACATTTCACGCACCCTCTAGCAGTTAACCTTGGCAAACTGTCTCAGAAGATGTATGAGAGAGCCTTTCCCAAAGGGATTGGTGAGGCTGGAGTGGAAGGCCAGAGTGGGATATTCTGGGGACAGCGCTGTCACCCACCGAGTCTGGACAGGAGAGAGAGAGTATGATGATAATGAGATGCTAATGTTGATACACCTGAACCCCTCGCACTATGGACACAGTCCAAACTATCGACGTCTTATATTTGGGGAAAGAAAAGGTGTCTTTCAGAGGTGCCCTTATTCAAGGGGTGCCCTTAGGAGAGAGGTTCAACAGTACATCAGAGTGCACTTAGGGCGGAAAAGTGACCTCATTTGAGGAGAGGGTTCTAGAGGGTGGGAAGTGACCTCATTTGAGGAGAGGGGTTCTAGAGGGTGGAAAGTGACCTATAGGGCTGGGTATCTAGGGTGGGACGTGACCTCATTTGAGGAGAGGGGTTCTAGAGGGTGGAAAAGTGACCTAATTTTAGGAGAGGGTTCTAGAGGGGAAAGTGACCTCATTTGAGGAGAGGGGTTCTAGAGGGCGGAAAAGTGACCTCATTTGAGGAGAGGGTTCTAGAGGGTGGGAAAGTGACCTCATTTGAGGAGAGGGGTTCTAGAGGTGGAAAAGTGACCTAATTTGAGGAGAGGGTTCTAGAGGGTGGGAAAGTGACCTCATTTGAGGAGAGGGGTTCTAGAGGGCGGAAAAGTGACCTCATTTGAGGAGAGGGGTTCTAGAGGGTGGAAAAGTGACCTCATTTGAGGAGAGGGGTTCCAATTGTGTATATAGTTGGGAGAGAGCCAAGCTCAAAGAGAGGTTACACCCACCGTGACCCAGGTGGGGATCAGGTCACACTTGTTGAGCAGGAGAACCATGTGTTTGTGCGGCTTCTCTCGTCTCAAGTAGCTCTCGATATGCTCGACCTCGTCCCCTGGGGGTCCCTGGCATCTAGTACCTGGTGATAGTCACATGATCGTCACGTGACAGTCACATATTATGAGTGTAAGAGAAACTTAATTTTGACTGATACATACAAAAGTTATGAAGTAGGAAGAGTTTTGCCAGTGAATTTTTGTAGTCGTCTGGTGACAAAATTGTAGAAGCAATTGGACTTTTCTGTAACTCTCTACTATATAGAGGTGTGGTTAAAACCGAAGTGACATGAAGCAACTTCAGCCAGAGGTTCAGACATGTATTCAATATAGAGTATGGGAAAAGTGAAGATGTAGCATATTATTATACCTGAACAACAACATCCGACGAATCTACACCTGTGGCAAAAGACAGTGGTAAAACCTTTCTTCCTCAGTAAAATTTTTCTTCTTTTTCCACTCTCTTTCTCTACCCTTCATCTCTTCCTTACTTCCGTTAATTATCTCCCTCCCTCCTCACAAACCCTGTCCTCCTTCCCTCCCTCCTCACAAACCTTGTCCTCCTTCCCTCCCTCCTCACAAACCTGTCCTCCTTCCCTCCCTCCTCACAAACCCTGTCCTCCTTCCCTCCCTCCTCACAAACCCTGTCCTCCTTCCCTCCCTCCTCACAAACTGTCCTCCTTCCCTCACAAACCTGTCCCCTTCCCTCCCTCCTCACAAACCCTGTCCTCCTTCCCTCCCTCCTCACAAACCTTGTCCTCCTTCCCTCCCTCCTCACAAACCTTGTCCTCCTTCCCTCCCTCCTCACAAACCTTGTCCTCCTTCCCTCCCTCCTCACAAACCCTGTCCTCCTTCCCTCCCTCCTCACAAACCTTGTGCAGTTCATTCCATATCCTCTTGGACTGCCCCTTGCTGAATACACACTCTCTCATCTCTGCCCTCGCTTCAGGAGCCTCTCTGACGATGTCTTTGTCTTCATCCTCTTTATACGTTTCTGGAAATATTATTATGACGAGGGGAGGAGGACAAATTACGGTTAACCCTTTCCACACCACTATTATACAAGCAGAAACCATGTACAAAGTATTAACACCTAGTATTAAAACCTCCATATAAAATCTTGCTTATGGAGACACATTTATGTGTCTCGGCTGGTTAAGTGTTAATGATAACACAATTGCTGAATTAAGCACTTGTGTGAGTGCCTACATAATCACAATATCCGAGCGTTTACATTACGGCGCAGTTGTTAACAAAACATGCTCCTCACCAGCATTCTTTTGGGCTGTTTCGGCAAGTTCCTGGAAAAAAATGTGTATGCATATTATTATCACGTGAAATACACGAATATGTAAAGAGAACGTGACAGAGTAAAACTTTGAAACTGTTAGTGAAAAACTTAATTGCATTCTTGGCAGTGGGTCCTATTGTTTCGTTCTATCTTTAGTAACGTTTCTAATAGCCTATCTTTAGCAACGGTTCTACAATGTACTGCCATATTCCCTTCAATTGCATGATCCAGTAATGTCTTCAAGTTGTCTTGGGAAAAAGCGGCAGACCTGTAAATCAGAGGAGAACAGTTTGGGTCTTTTCCTCAGAGAGTGTTGACCAAATGTCGCCTTGAAACTCTCCGTGTCCAGTAGATGCACTCTAGCATGCTGGAGGACGGGAGGGAGAGAGAGGAGGGAGGGAGGGGGAAGAGAGGGAAGATAGAAATTACAGTGCAACCTCGTTAATACCAACACTGAAGTGAAATACCTGCTTAATACGAACCACTTTCAAATCCCCAGGCATTACACTAATACAACTAGCTACTGTCATAGTGAAATTCCTTAATTTTTTTATGGCCCCCTGGAGTTCATTAATGAGGTTCGGTTGTAAAGAGAGGAGAATTTTTTTAAAATGAAGATATCAGCCAGACACACTGAAGGAGTTCATGGGCTTGACTATAATAATAGTTGAAGAGTGAAAATAGCAATACTATCTGTCACTTCATTCCTCCCATCCTCCCGGCACCTCCTCCAAGCAGTATTTCAAAGATTTGCATACCTTGCAGTGACAAACAAATTATGACCAGATACATTCTATACGTACCTTGGACGTTTCTTGCAGCAGTGAAATAGGCAGCCCAGTTTTTCTCATGACAACCTAAAAAAAGACATTGTGACTTTCACTCCAACATACATTAAAATACATATTTACCTTATAAGGGTCTTTTATCACTTTCCCCATCTCTTCTTGAAATGTCTGCAGAGCCGATTGCGTAATCACCTTGGTGTTACCTAGGCGACCACAGAAAAATAGACCCATACACTACAGAATTGTGATACAGTGCATGGACAAACATGCATTGCCATAATTATTTTCATTAATTGGTGGGCGTTATTTAGAGAGTAAGGCTAAAATTGGAGTAAAAATTGTGTAAGAAATATTAATAATTATGTGCTGTTTTGACTACACACATGTATATACACGAGTTAGAATGTTGCAAAAGTTATCCTGTCCTTTACATGCGCAGTGCAGGAGCATGCACGTGTTAGCAATACAAAAAATGCTGTACATTATCAGACAGTCCACGTACCAAACCACTTGCGGTTGGGTTCCACTCTGGCCACCTCTCCACTCTTAACACTGGTCTGGAATGGAGCCGGCCGCAGTACCTTCCCCTGACGATTCCTATAGAGTGGAAGAAAAAGAAGAAAATGTTTACTGAGGAAGAAAGGTTTCACTCACTCACACAGGGAAACATACATATGTACTATATAGAGTCTTGGAGCACTTGAAATAATCAGATTAGCAAGGCACTGCATTTGTAAATGGAAAGTCTTCGGTTCGATCCCCACACATCATTGCCGGTTTTTAACCCTTTGGACGCCACGGGTATCTCCTTAAATAAGCAGAAATCGATGTATAACATATTAACACCTAGTATTACAGCCCCATATAAATTCTTATGGACTTATGGAGGCTCTGGACATATTGTATATGCCAGTGGCTTGCTAAGGGTTAATACCCTAGCAATATCCTCCCACCTTAATCATTACCAATTTGCCATGGACAAAGAAGGGGGTGGAAGAAGATCTCTTCTACTCAACTGTAAGCGTGGCTAACATGTGGAAGGCGTCAGTAAAGAGAGAGAAAGAGAGAGGGGAGTATATATATATTTTTTCATCACCTCACAACTTTCCCTCCACTCTTGTACATCTGGAGTCTCTTGATGGTGGTCTTTGACCTCTGATGAGGGCCGGTGGCCACTCGATCTGGGGGAATTGAAGCAGAGTGTACTTATCTCTCCAGACCCCTTACTACCCTTGACTGGCACTTCTAGCAAAAGGTTATTATGATGGGTGTTAACCCTTGTTGTGCATGCGCAGCGAGGGTTACAGTACTTGGTTTGTAAGTGTGTGTGTGTGTGTCTGTCCGTTTGTCTGCTACCACATTTCTATGACTACGCACAACGGGTTCATCGCTACACTGGCTTCATTTTAAAAAAATTCTTTTCATTCGGTACAGTTCCAATGCCTTGTCTTAAAAGAGAGACATTGTAAAACAGGTTTTAGCGACACATTTTGAATGCAAATTCATAATCATCTCCCAGTGACCAACACATTAGCTGGAACTAGCTCAATGTTCTCAACAGGAACCACACAATCAGCGTGTTTGGACCGCGTGTATGGTTCTTATGACTAACATAGGTTTCATATGAGAATGGGAAAAGATCTTTGCTAGGTATATGGCTACGCATGAAAATATACACTCACCAGGATTTGAGCTGCTCGCTGACTTTTTCAGCGGCCTATCCGCCATTGTTCTCCCCATCTTTTCTTCCTCTCTCTCTCACAGTTTTCAGGGACTGTCTCTGGCTCAGTTAGTAAGCTTTCCTCGTCTCTTTTCCCGACTATCTATCTATACCTCATGCCTCAGCTTCGCAAATGCACACGTGGGGTGGTGCTGAACTTTGCACCTCTGAGCTTATGTAGCTTAGCGCGTGCGCTTAGCGCATGAGCTAAATTGAAGGTGTGCGCATGCGCTGCTGCGGGGCGCTGCGCGCGCGTTTTGCAGCCCAAAATCTGGTAATGATGGGGGATGATGATAGTGAATTGAGACGCAATAACAGAGACAATATAGACAATAACGGAGGGGTGTGTAGGGTCAGAGATGTCTGTCGATAGTGTGCAGCATACCGGAGGTCGATGATAGTGGCAGATGGTCGTACTCTGATGACCTGTGAGCTGAAACTGGAAGTAAAATAGGAGGATGAAGATACTGTTATAGCATCACCTACTGGTGGTAGCAGGTACAGTTTACCTACAACTCAGGAAAGATGTGTAAGAACACTTTACAGTGTAGTTGGTAGTGAGAAGACCTACCTACACTGTTCACGGGTGATAAAATCTCAAATTCCTCTCTGACAACAATGCTTTGTATATTCCGTGCCCATTATAAACTATGGTAGCTACTGAGCTAAGTTACCGTGCCCATTATAAACTATGGTAGCTACTGAGCTAAGGTACTGTGCCCATTATAAACTATGGTAGCTACTGAGCTAAGTTACCGTGCCCATTATAAACTATGGTAGCTACTGAGCTAAGTTACCGTGCCCATTATAAACTATGGTAGCTACTGAGCTAAGTTACCGTGCCCATTATAAACTATGGTAGCTACTGAGCTAAGTTACCGTGCCCATTATAAACTATGGTAGCTACTGAGCTAAGTTACCGTGCCCATTATAAACTATGGTAGCTACTGAGCTAAGTTACCGTGCCCATTATAAACTATGGTAGCTACTGAGCTAAGTTACGTGCCCATTATAAACTATGGTAGCTACTGAGCTAAGTTACCGTGCCCATTATAACTATGGTAGCTACTGAGCTAAGTTTACCGTGCCCATTATAAACTATGGTAGCTACTGAGCTAAGTTACCGTGCCCATTATAAACTATGGTAGCTACTGAGCTAAGTTACCGTGCCCATTATAAACTATGGTAGCTACTGAGCTAAGTTACCGTGCCCATTATAAACTATGGTAGCTACTGAGCTAAGTTACCGTGCCCATTATAAACTATGGTAGCTACTGAGCTAAGTACGTGCCCATTATAAACTATGGTAGCTACTGAGCTAAGTTACCGTGCCCATTATAAACTATGGTAGCTACTGAGACTAAGGTACCGTGCCCATTATAACTATGTAGCTAGAGAAAGTACGTGCCCATTATCAACTAGGTAGCACTGAGCAAGTTACCGTGCCCATTATAAACTATGGTAGCTACTGAGCTAAGTTACCGTGCCCATTATAAACTATGGTAGCTACTGAGCTAAGTTACCGTGCCCATTATAAACTATGGTAGCTACTGAGCTAAGGTACCGTGCCCATTATAAACTATGGTAGCTACTGAGCTAAGGTACTGTGCCCATTATAAACTATGGTAGCTAAGTTACCGTGCCCATTATAAACTATGGTAGCTACTTAGCTGAGGTATTGTGCTAAAGTGAAAGACTTACAATGATGTGGGTCGTCCAATGGCAGTGTCACCTTCACCATAACAGGCTCAACGGAGCCTACGAAACTGACGCAAGTCACGGCTGCTCTCTCGCTGAGCGACCCGTCCACGGCAACCGTGAACATGGCTGGAGGGGCGGGACTGTGTGAGGTGGAGGTGGAGGTGAGGGAGGAAGTGAGGGAGGAGGTGAGGAGGGAGAGGGTGTGATCAGGGGAGCGACGACACGGGGAGAAAGAGACTGCCGATGAGGGAATCTGGAGGTGACGAGAGAGAGAGGGAAGGAGAGGTTTGGACTTTAAGGTAGGCTCAGTACAGATGACTACATGTGTGTGTGACTCTTATGCTTGCCTGCCAATAATAATATTATGTTGAATTTGATCTTGTAGACACTAGTATACACTCACAATGTCGCTCTCATTCCAGACAGACAGCACCACAAACTACTTGTATATATAGCTTTGACTAATCTCGGTATTCTCTGCACTCATACATTCTCACCATTGCCAGACACATTCTACATGTACATACTGCTCTAACATTAACTCCTTTACTGTCTTCTGTTTATGCATTGCTAGAAGTACTCTTCCTCTGTCTGTTGATTTGCTCTCAGCTCAAACATCGCAATTCGAGATTTCGATGACTTCTGTTGATCATTCTTAAAAGTGGTGCAGCGTCTCGCATTTCTTGCTTTTTGCTTGTTGCCCAAAACTGGACATGTATGCATTCCTTAATCTGTCCATCTCTCCTCTCTCTCTCTCCCTCTGCACTCTATATATTATGCTCTATGTTGTATAATATGTGCTATTGTCGACCTAATTGCCTCTCAGTCTCAACACTGCATCTGATTCAGTCTTCTTCCCTGAGAGTTTAGATTTCGGATGGCATCTGTTTATGCTATCCCTCTTCTCTCTCTCTCTCTCTCTCTTTCTCTTTCTCTCTCTCTCGATCTTTGACATCTCCCCTCCCCTCTCTCTCTCGATCTCTCTCTTTCTCTTTCTCACCACACTTTCTCTCAAGATATGCTACTATGCAAATTTACACACACACACGTACAGGCTAAAGAGGACTTGAAGCATCTTGACAATGTTCATACTAACATTATGTACAACAGTGACTGTGCATAAAAACAGGTAAAATTACACATGTGTAGACCACTTGGCTCCGAGGCTGTCTTCCAGCCACTGACACCACTGTGACACATACCCTGAGGAATTCGTAACGACCTTTATCCCATTAACCCCTTGGCTCCCAGCCATCCCCCTCATTCTCTTAACCCTTTAGCTCCTGGCTCCGCAGCCTCCCCTCGGAATACTCGTCATTCCAGCGTTTGAGGAGGTAATTAGTATATTATATATACAGCGGGACACTTTCCCAGGAGACAAAATAATTTTACACACAAAAGAGAAATTGTTATTTTCAAAGGAGTAGATGTTGTGGCCATAGGACTATCTGTACTAAGTTATAGTACCAGGTCCAGTACACCGGCGAAAGTTAGGGAGTTATAATGGCTTACAAAGGAATCGCTACATTTTTCACTTCAAAAGCTTCTCACTAAGTGGACATATCGGGTTGCCTTAGAGATGCAAATAGTTTTTTTGGCTGTGCGCAGCTATTCATACCGCTGGAGGCAAGTCTTGTGTACATGTGGCTGATTGAGTAATTATGGCAGGAACGAAGGAAGGAGATGAGGCAATTTCAGTTGCCGTGGTGATAAAAGGGAGAGAGAGAGTTGGCATAATGGTGAGCGGCGAGTGATGTTTAATGCTGCATTATGCTTTGATCAAGGCTTACAACTGGTTCACGTGCGTAGAGTTATATATGGACACCTAGCTTGTTCCTAGCGTGCCAATAATAGTTGAGGCTCAACTGGACACAAACAGAACTAAACAAATTGAGTTGATTTTGTGGTAAACAGCAGAACATACTTGTGCTTTTATGCATGCAGACACGCGTCTGCTATGGGATTTGGCGGGGATTACGCAATGCCTTGAACTGACGACCAATGGAGTAATTGCGGTTGCCTTAGTGATAAAAGAGGGGGCCGTTAAGTCGGCAGACGGCAGGAGACACACAAGTTACTGTGAGTAATTGGCGAAGTTTGCATGGATAAACACACAATCTGTTGTATATTTTGTTCTCTCTTCCCATGTCAATCACTGTATCCCTCTATAGCACACACAAAGCCTGAGGGTCCCGGTAATGCCGAGTGTTTACAATATATACTCCAAATGGCTATACTAATGCTCTATATATATATGAGCTGCCGAACTAATACAAACTTAATAGAGGGTTAACACCGGAGTGGTAGTATATATAGAGTTAAACCTCCGTTCCAAAAAAATTTTCTTTTGCCTCAATTTTCTAGCGGGTAGAACCAAAAATTACTACACAAACTGTTGTTTTCACTCAGTAAAAATTATGTATGCTTCGATGAAAAAAACTGGAAAAACATTTGCTTCGATGAACGTACCTTTTTGTCAGACTCCAGTAAAAGACTCCATCCAGACTCCGGGAGTTGCCGTGGGAACCGAATCTCCAGCTCTGGGTCGCCCGGCAACCCCCACTCATATCAATCGTTGCTGCTGGCGGGCGGAGCAAACTTGAAGGGGTGGGGCGGCATTATTTGGAATTCCGACTCGGAAAAATAGCTTCTTAGGGCCTGGAGGGTGGAGAGAGACGGAGTGGAGAAGACAGGATAAGGAGGTTGTTATTAAAATGGTAAAAAACGAACGGCTCTACATATGTGCTGTCCGTGAGAGTTTATTGTGAGGTATGGTATGGCAGCGTCGATGCCCGTTAATACAATTATACATTCTATACGTGACAACCGCGTCCTGCAACTAGTGGTAAAATTGCTTTGTTTGATAATTGGCGACTGTTGTCAACGTGGTCAATTGACTTACGTTTTTCTAAGTACATGTATATAAATCCACTTATATTGCGCAACTCGCCAAAAAATGTGCTGCATTCGTATAATATTATATATAATATAAGATGAGAGATTATTACAGTCTAGATATTATTATTACAGTCTAACTCGACGAGTGTTTGAGGAATCTTGAAAAGACCTCTAAATTCCCATTCCACCGTACTCAATACGACTCGAGATGGAGCGAAGAATTTCCGGCTCGGCAGTACGCAGATCAACATTCTACTAGCGCCCCAACACAGCCTAGCCAATCTTCCTAACATGGCTCTCACTGACCATCACCAGCGTACCATCAGTAGTTACATGGCAGTATAGTTATGGGCAAGGCATATACAGCACCTTGCACATACAGTAAACATGTAGCTGCAATATATACAGTATAAACTGGGTATTAGCATTAGCGGATACTGTTACCATGGCATCAAGCTGTGTATAACCTGATCCTGCCATATATTGTGACTACATATGTACATTGTTGAGATGCCTAACTAAATCACTAATTAAATCACCAGCCAGCGGAGAGAGAGAGAGAGAGAGAGAGACAGATCCTTTAATAGCCACGATCAGGTGGTGTAAATTTGTTTTTCGGACCGGTTGCTAACGACCTTTCCTTGGAGACACTGGCAGAATTGGTACTTTGTACAGGCTTATATAGCCCTCTCTTCTTGTCCCCTCTCTCCTTCCTCTCTCTCTCTCTCTCTACTCTCCTTTCTCCCATTTTAATCATTTCGGTCCATTACTCAGTACATACCGTGGACCCTAGTAACTGCCAGCGTTACTTAACACGTCCACACAACAACGTCAGAGTTCTACATTTCAGTGGTTCTGGGCGTACGAGACTCATTCCTAACATTTCGCTGAGAATGTGCATGTCTCAACACTTGTCGCGAGGTAGAGCTGAGATCGTTGCACATAGTAGTTCATGCCAGCCGGCATGCACATTCTATTTTTTCCTTTATTCGTGCATGAAATTGGTGCTGCACGTATCGATTCCTATCGATGCTGACTCTGTTTTCACGCGTGTGTGTGCGTGTGTGTGTGTGCAAGCCGCGTGAAGAAACGAACGCCTCAGGTGAACTTCGTTCTTTCTCAAAGACATTTCACCCAGGAACAGGCAGGAATTCCCTCCGATGAACAGCTCCAAGCCACAAACCAGCTGGTCCACTTCAAAGCATCCCTCCCTAATTGGATTCCCATTGAACCTTTTACCACAGGTTCTTAGGGTACACTGCGTTGTAAAACCACAAAACATTCGGGGCGCCCAACAGCGCGACGATGTGCATTCGGATTTTGTCAATGTTACAGCTAAGTAGACGATTTCAGTGCATTGTGTAACTTGCTACTGTAAAACACGGAGCTATCGATGCAGAAAGTTTCATGCATGCTTGTGGGCCAATTTCCTACAGCTATTGTTATGTCTCCTCTTGGTTAGTCTCAGCGGTGCCGCCCGCTAACCTTTCCCGATCCCCCCACACACACACATATTATTGAATATACGTCCAAGCATTCCCTGTGGCTTTTGGCATTTCAAACCAGCTGTTAATTAGCACCTGAGACGTTTTGTCATGGGAATACGCACCACTAGGGAGATATTAGAGAGTTCGTGTCCTTCTGTCTCCCTTCCTCTCCCCCTCTCGTCTTGCTTTGACGCATAACCCAAAGGTTTAACAAGACCATTATATATAATTCTCGCTACACGTATTATATATACAGTCACTGAGATGCTACAGCAAAACACAAGCTTACTTTAAAATCAGGCATTGAGTGCATGACACAGTGTCTGACATGACTGGCCAATGGTAAATCTACGCTTCCTAAATTTTTGGAGCAATTCAGTTTCTTTATGACATAGTTCTAAATGTCACAAAGATGCACATATTAAACACATAGAGTAGTAAGGGGGTATACCATTACCTGGACACACGTGTGGAGGTTGAAAGTGATGCAGAAATGAAGGGTCCACTCCCTACCACAGATGACCGCTGGTAGCACGGGCACGATGCAATAGACAGCGTGCAGGGCCATCTCTCGCGACAAGTCCCTACTCCTGCCAATACTGGCCGCGATACACAGCGGGCTCAGCTGCTTGGTCGAGATGGATCCACTCAGACCACTTTCTTGAGACGAAGAGATCACTTCCTCGCCCTCCGCGGCGTTAAACTCAAACTGTCTCTTTCCGCACGACTTGTTTGCGGGTGCCGCAGACGACCCGGATTTGAGCGACGCACACGTGAAATGGAGGGAGAGCGAGTCTTCGACTTCCGTCGTTTCAGAGATCCCGGACAAGCGTCGGCTATACAGTGCGGGAGGGTTATTGTGATCGGCTTCTTAAACCTTGTGTCTGGAATGGAGCACAACCAAAGGATCGGAGAGACGTTGGTCGAGTTTTCGCCAAATGTAAACGGACCGTGTATCGCGAGACCGACCTGTATCTCCACCGAGCCTCGTTTCTTGAGTGCACCCTTTGGGATACGGATCGAGAAATCGTGTTCCTCCGAGCGATACTCTAATTCCTCTCCCTCGTACTTTAGGATCACGGGAGAGAGGGTGAAATTTATGCTGCCTGAGCTGCGATCGTGGTCAACTTCCCCGCCCGGTACTCTCCCCGATACGCTCCCACACCTCTTAATGTCTGGATGGGGTGGGTGTCTACTAAATGATCGTTTCCTCCCGCCAATCACGACCTCCGTATACGCTCTGTCCCTCAAGCGGTGCGACGATTCGTTCTGCTGCGCCATCGTCATCCTGCCTCGCGCCGAAAAGCTCCTTCGTGCCGGGATGTGCTGGAAAAATGTCGACATCTGCGACAGGTTGTCTGTGGAGCGGCTCGATTTCCTCGATTTCTTTCTCGTTTCTTTCTCTCGTGAGGCCGGCGTGGAGGCAACGTCGTACGAGAGCGTCTCGCTCAAGGATCTCCTCCGAAATACGGGCGTGCTGTGGGTCGGAGTACCCCGCTCCGGTCTGTGACTCGGACTGTTTGCAGTCGAGGCGGTGCCACACCCGTTTTGTTGCCAGCTGAGTGATTTCGATCGAACCGGGTCCAGATTGACCGAGTGTATCTTATTACTGTGACCCTCGCTCCAGTATTTGGTCCGTGGTGGTGCGGGTGTCTCTATTTTTGTTCCGAATATCCCCGGGCCCCCTCTCTGGTGGGCGAGGTGGTGACTTGTGTGTGAGAGGGGGCGGTGGTGGTGGGTGGGGGAGGAGGGAGAGGAGGAGGATCTTGGGAGATGACGGTAACCACGTGGTGGATCACGATACAGGACACGCAGACCTGGGGGGAGGGGGGAGGGGGGAGGAGGAGGGAACATTAAAAATTGATGAGACCAAGTATTTTCAAACTTTTAACTATAATATACATTTCCGTAAACGTTTGTGGCAATTAACAAGAGTATATTGCCATTTTTGGAAGTGCTGATGTTTTTTTTTGGAGGGAAGGGGTGGATTGAGAACCTAGAATGATTCAAACGAAATTCAAAAATAATTCGACTGCATGCTTTCGTAGATTCACCAACTGCATCTGAACGGTTATAAATCAGCAAGAAACGGATCACACTGCCACAAAATTCACGAAAAACACTCACACAGTTGTCCCCTTCCGAAATGCACAAAATACTTCTCCTACCAGCAGACATGTTATCAATACACCTAACAGTACAGGAGACCCGCTCTCTAGCAGAGCACCTAATACACCTCCCCATATACAACAACTGACGATGGCTGACGATGAATTGCACGAAACTCGAGTGCTCATTACTAAAACGAACTAAACCGATTAGTGTTTTGCCAACTGTGGTTAATTAACAACCCCCAGTTTGGGAGGTGTACATACTGTATGTGTGTGTGTCCTAGACTCGAGATTATTATGCTTCAGGAATAGATATTTCACCAACTAAAATGTTGCAAGCCTAATAGTCGTCGTAATTTTGTATATAAATCTAACCAACGTTTCTGCTACGTGTCTCCACAGATATATATACCAGGGAGAGAGGTTCAAAGGTTGCAATCTAGGTGCGGGTCACTTTGTCCTGGCTCGCCAAAAGACTGTGTTTGTTCCAGTAGCCGTGTAGCTATTAGGTTGAGCGGAGAGAGGTTCAGCGCTGGTATGTGGCATGTCTTTGTGCGTGTGTGTGTGTGTGTGCAAACATTCCAACCAGTTACAGAGGAATGAAAAGCCACACTAGGACACACATATACATAGTACAGTGGGTATATACCGTCTCCTTGGCTTTGCTGACACATATACATTATAGGTACTGTGTGAAGTGACTTTGGCCTTGCGGTATGATGGCTGGATGAGCACGCACACTGCCTTCTGAGGCTACTTACTACTTGAGGCTAACGGTGCAATGGGACTTGTTGAATGCTCTTTGAAACTTGATCAATACACTCACGGAGTACAAATGTACACTCCACGTCCTTTAGTAGTTTGACTGCTGATTTGTTAACGAGTTTAGAGACTTTTCATTCCAGGAGAATGAAAGTTACTTTTTTTTAGTGGATACTATGCAGCGTCATGGTCAAAGAGAAACACAGAGGCTTGATGCTATATGGATCAATTTAACACAAACAGTTCCCAGGAGGGAACTTTAGGTATATATAGGCAAGTCAGGGTGTTTAGAAAAACATGAAATTTGATCAATGCACGCGGGAGTATGGTTGATAGAATGTAGGAGCTCTATTTCTCCCTGTCAATCTTAGCTGAGATAACAAATTGCAATTTCAGGGGCCATTGGGTTGTAACAAGAACGTGTGTTCCTCAATTTTGATGCCACCGAATCAAGATTTCATCAAGAATTTTCCCGAGTTGTCTTATTTCTATGTCAGTTTGCATTTTTACACCATTTGGTAGGAAAGAAAGAAGATAAGCTTGTTAAAGAAGACATTAATTGTTGACTGGAGGCATAATAATATAAGACATACGTATGTACATATGCAACCAACGATCAAACTTCAACACGGTCAGAAAGATCAAACATAATTACACACAGAAGATGGACAACAGTTGTAGTTGGTTCGTGTGCCAAATTTGCCGTTGTACCCCCTCATTCCAAAAATATCTTCGCTAACTATTCTTAAAATGGGGTTAAACACCTACGCACGTGTCTTAGTGTGCGACACACTGTGTTATTGCACGAGGTTGCTTTAAACAATTGCAAGTCAGTGAGGCTGAATGATACATGATGATGAGTCACTGAAACACAACGATTATAATGTATTACGTGGGCTGGTGGGATTCTAATTACATACCCAGCTAGCAGTATGAACCTAACGTTGGCTACGGCATTTAAATTGGGCTCACGTAATTCTAACCAACCAACCATTTGGAGGAAAAAAGTTTCACTGCAATTTCAACTCATTGCAAAGTTCTATATTTCATGACTCTTCCCACTGTATGGTATTGTGTGTGTAGAGGAACGCACCGGAAATGGCTCTTTTGTTTCCTGACAGGTTGTCCAGATTGAGCTTCAGCCTGTCGTAGTGCTCCTTTTCTTTCTGTCTATTGTTACCCCCTCCTCCAAGTCCCACTAAACTCTCCGAGCTCTCGGCCAAACTGGAAGAACTGTCAGACTCCAGGTAACTCGGTCGGTGCAAAATTCTCCGAGTTCTCTCGCTGGCTTTCGAACCTTCCACGACCTTGAGTTGGTTATAGTGTGGATTGTTGGCCGTCATGCTACCAACACCGCCTGCGAGATTTGTGTCACGAATTCCGTGCGACGAAGGAAGGCTTGCAAAAAGTGAACGGATCTCGGAGCTATCAGAGAGTCCTGATATGCTGCTGGTGGAAATTTCAGAGTCGCTGACAGATGGTTCTCGGGATGAGGTGTTTGGGGGTCCGAGGAGGAGGGTCGAGGGAGGGGGAAGAGGAGGAGGGAGGAGATCGGGGCAGACATTGACGTAGTGGTTCCTCGGGGCTGGCTGGACTAGCTGCTGTTTTTGATGGGGAGGGTGGTGAGTGATGATAGGGGATCCCGGAAACGGATGGTGATGGCGCTTCGGACTTGCTATTGCAGTCATGACCGCCGCTGGTCGCAGATGGCGGATCCTTCCCCTGCAAAAATCGATGAAACAGCAAATCAATTTGCAGAGTGACAAATTATGCGAGCGGACCACAGGTCAAGTTCTTCTGGAGTGTGTCGCAGCAAACATCTACAACTCTCCCCGTTTGCTACGCATAAACTAAGTCACTGCTACCTCCGTAGCTAGCTTAGCTCTATATAGCTAGTCACTACTACTCACAGTTATACTCAGTGGCTGCGGATTTCTTCTTCTTAGGGTGACTGGTAACAATCTGTCGCCTCACAATTAGCTTGGAACTTCTCTGCATTCTGAACCCTAACGTCTGCAGTTCCCTTATAAAACTCAATGAGATAGTTCAGTTCACTTGAGCTAGCCAAGATCGAGTTCAGGACTTCCGGTACGTACGCTGCCGCGGCTGGATGAACTGCGCGTGCGCGAAATTGGAGGTGGAGGCTCATTTATAATACGCATGTGCAAAACAGGCTGATGCGCCTTGACAAGCCTTTTCCAGCATGCAGGGTGTGTGTGTGTAATAGCACTGGAGCCTAGCCGCCCGACACCTCGCCAGCTATTGGACGACCACCAGGGGCAAGACTACATCGTACGAAACGCTGGTAAAGTATAGAGGTGAGCAGTTTATCCACCCGGAGGATCTACATTGGCCATAGGCGAAGTCATGCTCACTCCACTCAACCACTATTGTGGAAGAAGGTGCATGTGAGTGGTGGTGCCGTGCTAAAATATCCAGCAATTCATCTATTGGCCCTAAGCTTTAATTATTCTTCTCTATCGCCATCCTAGAGATACTGACATCAAACAACTATTCAGGGCAGTATTGTATGTCACTGGGGGAAGCCTATTTAGCGGAGTACTATTATTGGCTACCCTTATTCCTATAATAAAGAGGCCAACAGCATTTTGTGTTACACACACAACTGCATGCGAGAGTTATTCCTGTAAATCTTAGATCCTGGTTTGTATATATTTGTCCTATATATGGTTCGTAAACTTGGTTTGTATATCATGTGTCCGACAGGTTTTGAATATCCCACACAGCGACCACAAAAGAATCAACAATGAAATCCACCTTGAAAATCACATTTTTCGGTCTGGCGTTCCTGAGCGTCCCCATTATCCTGTACCAACTGTATTCGCAGACAGGTAGTGCAGTGGGCGGAACTCTAACTGAAACCGACAGCAACCAAGGCTCCTCGGTTGCTGTACCATTAGAAAACAATGTACCTAGGTCACAGCCGACTATCCCCACTAGTGTGGGAGGTGGCGGGACTCTTAGAATAGCTTCTGAAACCAAGCCGACGTTGAGTGAAGGAACTGCAACACCACCAAAGTCAGAGCCCACACTACCCAATATTGTGTACCTGTTGGCGGATGACTTGGGTTACGGTGATGTCGCTTACAATGGGGGCGTGGCACAGACGCCAAACTTGGACGAGATGGCTTCTAGTCTGCACAGCATCCAGTTCAATAGGTTTTATTCAGGTGGACCCGTGTGCTCACCGACACGCGGGACACTACTGACCGGTAGGAACCACAACCGCTACTGCATATGGCATGCCGATATAGGTGTCCCCCGTAGCGACTTGACCTGTCCTTCGCTTATGCCACTCCCGCCCTCCGAACTTACTGTGGCAGAGATCTTGAGCGAGGTAGGCTACCACACTGCCATATACGGGAAGTGGCACGTTGGGGACTTGAGGAAAGTGCCTGGCGGAAACAAAAAGTGGCCCGTCTCAAATCCCACTATGCACGGATTCCGAGAGTGGTTAGTAACGGAGAGACACACGTCGAATATCTTACCAAACTGCAGATGCTCGCATAATGACTATTCCTGCAAACTTAATGGCCGTAAGTACAACGTGGTCTTTTGTCGCGACTACTGGTACGAGAATCCTTTGACGGGTCAACTTGAAAAATCCCGGAGACAGGTTTTCGAAGACTCTCACTACATCGTCGATCGATTTGAGGAGTTTCTCAAGAACAGAAACAAATCGCGTCCGTTTTACTCACAGCTCTCTTTTCACTCGGTCCACAGTCAATATCTAGCAACGCCATACTGGTATAACATATATTTGAAGAAGTACAACGCAGACAGGTCTCACTACTTGGGGGCGACATCGGCACTCGACGAAGCCGTCGGTCGAGTAAGAATTCTGCTCAAAAAGTACGGGATTGCCGAAAACACACTCTTGTGGTTCTCTAGCGACAATGGACCCCAGAAGAACGAGCCTGGATCAGCGGGTAAGCTACGGGGTCGAAAAGGGGATGTATTGGAAGGTGGGATAAGGGTACCGGGCATCATTGAGTGGCCAGCGATCATTCACGGGAACAGAAAAACTTCGGTTCCTGTGGTGACGACCGATTTTCTGCCAACTGTTGCCGAAATCGTTGGGTACAAACTCCCTCGCAATCTCCTCTTAGACGGCATTTCGATTCTGCCCATCTTGAATGACGTTGCCGGGGATCGCCCTCGCGGGAACAACATCAAATATGCATTTTACCTGAAGAGAGGGAAACTCGACGTCAATTTTAGAGCTGCCGTAGTGGGGTGATCGCTACAAATTTTATGCACAGTTTGACAAGGGGAAAATGTTAGAACACTACCTCTATGATCTGGATAATGACATTGGAGAGTCAAAGAACGTTTCTGAGCACAACGTCGAGTTGACGCTAGCAATGAAAGTGGAATTGGAGGAGTTTCTAAAGTCGGTCACGAAAAGTGCGACTGAGATTGGGTGTTTGGAGACACATGACCGGAGGGATGTTAAATGTTAATGTTGTGTCTGTAATTATTATTATAATATCCCCACTCAGTCTTCCTTACCCGGCCCCCTCCATTCTTTCTCTCTCTCTTACACACTCACTTTTCCATTTTACTGACCCTCCATCTCATTCTCTATTGCCGATGAAGAAACATGATGTGAGCACTAGTACTAATTTATGCGCAAATCGATGTCGCTCCGTTGATATGGAAACCGAGCCTAATAAACAACACGTGCTGCAAGAAAGGGGGGCGTGTCGGGTCTTCTGGAGAGGAAGGGGTATATAGACGACGCCTCGCTCTCCGCATGGACCGCTAGTTACATAGCAGGCTACAAGATGATACCCATCTACTCTACCAGCAAGTTGGCTCGCGTCACACTCGCTGGAATAGCAGTCTTCTTCATCGTTTTCACCGCCTCCCTCCTTCCCGCCGTTCTCGTCACACCGACGGTCAGATACGAGGAGGTGTCCAGCTTCCATTCGCTCTTGATTTCCAACTCGTCGGCGAATTTCTACAGCGCTACCTTCATCCGGACGTCGTTGTTGTCCCTTGCTTTCGCGGACTACAATCGTGCCCAAGGTATCAGCGATGTCGTCAAAACCAGAAATACTACAGGTGTAGCGGCCGGCAACTCATCCAACTCCACTCTTCTTGTCGACGCGCAAGGAGCTTCTGAGCGAGACGACACCGTTTCTTCTTCACTTACAAGTACCCAGTCCGCCCTCTATCACAAGGAGGAACCGGCCGTTTGCGTTAGCAGCGTCAAGAACCACCCGAGATGTGGAAAATGGTGGGAAAAATAACAGCCATTCTGGCCGTAATCTCCTGGGATTGGAAGGAACACCCAATGCCACCAGAACTTCCACAACAGCATTAACAAACACTTCCACAACAGCAGTAACAAATGCTAGTGAAATCCCACCAAGGCATCGTGTTACACACCCCAAGTCCCGCGGCTTCATTCTGGCGACAGAGTACCAGCAGCAGTTACTGGGTGGGTTCAAGGGGTTTTACCACCTCTCCAAAATTGCATCGGCCCTCAATCTGTCCATCGTTGAACCGTTTGTCTCAAGGACATCCTTGACCGGAGTTCCTTCCCTGAAAGAAGGTCTGGACCAGTGTTTTAAACTGAGCCACTTTTACGATCTCTACGGTCTGAGAGACGCCTTTCTCCAATGCTCCGACGTTAAACTGGAGACTTTCGAGAATTTCTTCACGAAATCCTCCCACCGTATTGTCATGGTCGATTTTCTTAAATCTCTGGATTTCTACCGCAAAGTATTTCCTCCAAATGGCATGAACATGAAGACCATAGAGTTAAAGTCAGATACAAAAGGCACATTGGTGAGTCTAGCGCTGCTCAACCAATACGCAGCACACATGTTTCAAAAGCGTTGTAAGAAGATCAGATGCTCAAAGACGAAGTATTTGTTTAAAAAATCTCGTGTGATATTGATTGACGCGAGACCGCTCCACCCCTTGTCGTGGGAACTAGTGAGGACCACTTTGGAATCGGTGATAAATGAAGAGGTGAATAAGTATGGCTCTGTGACACTAGTTCTGCCCTCATGGCGAGACATCCAACCGCCTGGCATGATCTCTTCTTTCTTCTACTCCATGCCTGACTTCCCATGGGATAATTGCCAAGATGTGGTTCTTATACCTCACAGTAAAACCGTCATGGCAGCTGCAGATAAGTTTGTAGCAGACAAAATGAAACCACATCCCGTGGTTGGAGTTCACATCCGTGCCGAGAGGCTCCTAATTGATTACAAAGGGGATGTCACTCACTTTATGGGCTGTCTGAAACAACTCAAAAACTTACTGGGAAACGGAACTATTCCCAGCGTTCGTAAGGAAAACGTTCATCTCATCCATGATCTGGGCACATACGGGTCGCAGAGCTGCACCGATTATTGCAAGTTGGGCTATGACAGAGCACTGTGGGAAATAAGTAAGTTAGGCTACAAGGTCATGAATTTCAAACCTTGGGACCAGAGCCATACACTGCAAAATACACTGGCCGCATTTGTGGACCGTGAGTATCTCACAAGAGTTGATGTGTTGGTGACGATTGGCAGAGGAGAGTTTCAGCAGAATATTGTGGAGAGATTCTTGAATCGATCCGAAGTCAAACGGGACAAACTTTATAGGATTTGTAACAACGGTCACCCAATACCCACCTACTATCCCCATTGCTAATACTTTTATAAACACTTTGAGTCACTTTTGTTATGTTTCATTCTGCCGAAACAGTCTGAATTAATTTGCCGTAAAAGCCGGCACTATTCATTATATAGAATGACTATATCCACTCTGAGTAGCCAAATAGGCTTTAGCTACAGTAGTGTGGTGCAGAGATAGGTTCATTTTGAAGGATCACGTGTGGCATTAATTTTCGAGACATGAAGGTCATGGCATCTCATTATAGTCATATAGCTTTGCTTTCACTTCAACACATGGAGAATGCACATGTCTAGACGCTCTATTCGCTCAAAGCTTGAAAATAATCCTGAAAGTGTCCTTTTATCAACTTCACCTACGCGCCCTGCGCTGCTCCACGATGGGCCGGCCGCGCCCATCACGACATGCTGACACGTACCTACGCGCCCCCTGCGCTGCTCCATGGTGGGCCGGCCGCGCCCATCACGACATGCCGCCGTGCCCACACGCGGTTAATTGCGCAAGTTATGTGTAAACAACAGCAACAATGATAAAGACCGTGTGTCGGCGTTTTACAAACGTTGTCGAATCTGAGCACATGTAGCTACAGCAGCTCAGGCCGCTAGCTAGAGCGACCGGCACTACTCGCTGATGAGGGCTGTCCACACGCAGATTGAAGCAGGTCGTGAGAGCGAGGCAAGGAAACACGACGACGGACGGTGCCGCCTGATAGCCAAGCCCACGGGAGAGATAGCCAACGTGGAGAGTTGTGCCGACTGGACGAGTGCTACAAGATGATACCCATCTACTCTACCAGCAAGTTGGTTGGCGTAACTCTCGCTGGGATAGCAGTCTTCTTCTTCATTTTCACCGCCTCCCTCCTTCCCGCCGTGCTCATCTTACCGACGACCAGATACGAGGAGGTGTCCAGCTTCCGTTCGGAGCTGAGGCTGTTGATTTCCAACACCACGAAACACCTATCCAGCGACGCCACCTTCACGCGGGCGTCGTACCTTTCCCGAGTCAACGCCTTCAAGACTAAAGAAGCGTCGACGGACAACGGCACTCTCTCTAACATCACTTCCCTCGGCGCACCGCAAGCGTCTGAACTTGTCGGCATCCCGTCTTCTTACCCAGCTGAGCTGCAGGAGAGGCCCGTCGTTCATTTGGCATCTGAAGACATTGAAAGCGGTGGGAAAAACAACAGCCGTTCCGCCCGGAACCTCCTTGGCTTCAAAGAAGTGGCAGCGAACTCCTCTTCCACACAAGTATCGTCTACAGCTGTGTCTACTACTGGTGAAAGGAAGCGGCGTGTTACACACCCCAAGTCCCGGGGCTTCATTATGGCGACAGAGTACCAGCAGCAGTTACTGGGTGGGTTCAAGGGGTTTTACCACCTTTCCAAAATTGCATCGGCCCTCAATCTGTCCACCGTTGAACCGTTTGTCTTGGCGACATCCTTAACTGGAGTTCCTCTCCTGAAAGAAGGCTCCGGAATTAATTCTTTTAAACTGAGCCACTTTTACGATCTCTATGGTCTGAGAGACGCCTTTCTCCAATGCTCCGACGTTAAACTGGAGACTTTCGAAGCTTTTTTCAAGAAAGCTTCGCGACATGTCGTGTTTGTAGATTTTATCACCTCCCTGGATGCTTACAGTAACCTTTTTCCAAAGAACGCTAGCAAGAGAGTTGTGGGCGTACCAATATACACCAACAGTGTACTGACGAGTCTGGGACGGCTTAATACGTGGGCAGCTCACTTGTATAAAGAGCACCGTAAGAAACACAAGCGGAGACTCAAGATAAGATATTCGTTTAGAAAATCTCGTGTGATATTGATTGACGCGAGACCGCTCCACCCCTTGTCGTGGGAACTAGTGAGGACCACTTTGGAATCGGTGATAAACGAGGAGATTGATAAGTACGGCTCTGTGACACTAGTTCTGCCATCGTGGCGTGACATCCAACCGCCTGGCATGATATCTTCTTTCATGTACTCCATGCCTGATTTCTCGTGGGACTATTGCCAAGATGTGGTTCTTATACCTCACAGTAAAACCATCATGGCAGCCACAGATAAGTTTGTAGCAAACGAAATGAAATCGCGTCCCGTGGTTGGAGTTCACATCCGTGCCGAGAGGCTCCTAATTGATTACAAAGGGGATGTCACTCACTTTATGGGCTGTCTGAAACAACTCAAAAACTTACTGGGAAACGGAACAGTTCCCAGCGTTCCAAGGGAAAATGTTCATCTCTTCCATGATCTTGGGTCTTACGGGTCGCAGACTTGCAAAAACTTCTGCAAGGCCGGCTATGATGCGGTTCTGTCGGCAGTATACAAGTTGGGCTACAAGATACTGTATTATGAGCCCCCGGATGATAGCTACGTCCCGATGAAAAAGACGCTCGCCGCATTTGTGGACCGTGAGTATCTCACAAGAGTCGATGTCTTGGTGACGATTGGCAGAGGAGAGTTTCAGCAGAATATTGTGGACAGGTTCATTAGCCGATCTGGAGGTAAACGGGACGACGTCTACAGGATATGTCACAATGATCACCCAATCCCAGCCTGTTACCCCCATTGCTGAACACCCAGGCAATACATGTATATACTTTCAGCCACTTCGTGTGTGTGTGTTCCTAAGTGTCATTTTCACTATTTCTCCACTGTCAGATTCATTTTTTGGCTCTGTAAGAAAACATGCCAACCAGTGATAAACTGCTTCGGCTCACACAATTTGCATGTGTTTGTAATGCACTAGGCAACCTGTCCCAAGCCACAGGTTAGTTGAGTGGTAAGCAGTCTGTTTTGCCTCTCCAGCATCTTGCTGCAATTTCCTCTGTTCTGGCTCAGTTTCATTCTTAGTGGCATTATATCTCTTGCACTGCAGCTGTATTATTTTAGAACCTTCATCTATATTATAGTCCATAATTATAAGTTTGGGTAAAGATAACTTATGCGTGGTTATGTATCAACAAACAGACTGACTATGTAAGGAAAACGTATGCACTGCCACAGTCACACTAGACTGGTGTTCTTCTTATGGCCACAAACTAGCGTATGAAACAGCAAAGCTGGCTAGGGGCTACCAAAGGCCACACTTCGTTAGCAATGCATGTATTCCACATGTACTTAATGGCTCCTATGTAGTGATAACTTAGTTGTGCATAACCTCAACAAAAGAAAGGAGTGCTTCACCAGCCTCTGATCTACCTTCTGTTAGATCTGCTAGATGTGGCTTGTTGCTCCGATATGCGACGATAGGAGTTTTTTCGACCGCTCCATTTTTACCTGAGAAAGCCATTGAACACTTTGAGATCAAAATCGTCAAAAGTTGCCCATGTTTTAACTATATATAATTATTATATAAACGCTGACCCACTATATATCCCTAATCTATGAATAAAAAGCAAGTGTCCTGACATGGTTGCTAATCTCTAGCCGAAGAAGTTTTCGATGCCTATGCAGGCGTCATCGTCAGGGAGAGAGTAAGGAGTGAGGCAACAGATAATGGGTGGTGGATTGCTTGGGAATGAATGTAACGGGGTGACTAGAGCTGGTACACTCATGGCAAGAAGTCTTTCTCCCTGTCGAGGCAAGCAAGTTTCAGTGGGAGGATATCACCCACTATGACAGACAGAGCTGTGTATATAATATGGTACACAAAGAGTGTAGCTATCAGTTGGACCAGAGTTTGTTTAGTTGTCTGCGCTTTCCCTGCCCACGCACAGTGGACGTTGTCTGTCCACAATAGCAACCAAATTCCTCTGCTCAGTAGTGAACAATCCATGTGTAAACAACGGAGATAAGGAAATCGGAAATCAGAATGGGTTAGAAACTGCGCATGCGTGCGTGAAGTATACCGGACCTTATAAGTACGCATGCGCAATCGTGTGCGGCCGGGCAACAAGGTGGGGCTGCTCGCATGCATGATGAATAAAGTGACCGGTTCGCGGTTCCGGATGCGTGTATCCTGCGAGCGGTAGTAATCTAGCGAGCGAAAAATGAGTGGTGGACAGCGGAGGCTTAGCTTGGAAAAGTGGGGGACCGTGTCGCTGACGATGCTGCTCGCTGTCGGCTTTTGCCCGCTCCTCTGCAAAGCCGCAGCTGATGATTTTTCCACGTGGTGCAGCGATACGAGTGAGCAGCCAGTAGTAGCCTTTTGCAATCCTTAGCTAGCTAGCTATGTGCAGAAGGTTAAATTTTGTATCAACCTGCTTTTGACCGTAGGAACAGGGGGAACAAACTCCGTTTCTGTCGACGTCCAATGCAACAACTCGCTCATCAATCTCACGATGAATTTCCCGGACGGACGCTCGCTTGCAACTAATCAGGACTACTATTGGCTGGAGTATCAGTGCTTCTTACCCAACGATACTACTGTCGTGGAGGCAAAGATACCCAATCCAGAAGATTACGGGGCGGTGCTGCCCAACTACACACAGCCTTTCGAAGATGCTCCCCTGCCCGATGGAACAGTGTGCACCGTCAGAGGATGCTTCTACCAAACGGGCAGTAGTATTTACCGTTTCATCGTCCCAAACAACTGCACTGTTGGTGAGTTTAAGGCATGCTATGAGGAGTTGTCCACCTACCAACATGATTGTTTGTTACCAAACACTATTGCAAAAGGAATAGGCATATTCCTCGTGCATTGCACCAATGTAGCTACTGCATGTGTTGCTCAGTAATTGTGAATGCAGTCACATGGACAAAAGGTATATTTATTTGACCAGTGGAACCCAGACACATTGGGACAAAACAAGTTGGAGAGATTTCCGTTTTTTGAATTATAACTATCCTCGGAGAAAGTAAAGGTACATACCATCCTAATTTCAACTTTAGAATACACCTAAAGCCAGGCATACCATGTAGATACACATAAAAATTTTGAAAAAGGCTTGTTTCCAATCTCTCACACTCGACCATGCCTTACATAAGCTATAAATGTAGGCAATCAATGTCAAGACAATCTCTTGATATGTTACAGATACAGATGAGTGTGCCAAAGAGACACACGACTGTGGGGGAAATTCTCTCTGTAACAACACAGTCGGTGGCTACGAGTGTGTTTGTGAAGACGGCTACTCTCCTTTGGACGACAGAAACTGCATAGGTGAGTAATAATTATTATAGAGAGAGAGAGAGACATGAACTAGTGATGCAAGTGTTCGTACACAAAATAGCTACATGGCCAAGTTGTGGGCTTTTTATAAGACTGTTGACAGTGTGTATGTAGCTGCATTACTCCCGGGACAAAATATGATGCTATCCTTGGAGAAAGAAAGTAAAGGTGTCCTCATTTCAACTTTAGAATACACCTAAAGCCAGGCATAAAATGTAACATTAATATGTAATTTGTAATTAACATTTTGAAAAAAGGCTTGTTTTTCCAATCTCTCACACTCGACCATGCCTTACATAAGCTATAAATGTAGGCAATCGATGTCAAGACAATCTCTTGATATGTTACAGATACAGATGAGTGTGCTAAAGAGACACACGACTGTGGGGGAAATTCTCTCTGCAATAACACGGTCGGTGGCTACGAGTGTGTTTGTGAAGACGGCTACTCTCCTTTGGACGACAGAAACTGCATAGGTGAGTAATAATTATTATAGAGAGAGAGAGAGACATGAACTAGTGATGCAAGTGTTCGTACACAAAATAGCTACATGGCCAAGTTGTGGGCTTTTTATAAGACTGTTGACAGTGTGTATGTAGCTGCATTACTCCCGGGACAAAATATGATGCTATCCTTGGAGAAAGAAAGTAAAGGTGTCCTCATTTCAACTTTAGAATACACCTAAAGCCAGGCATAAAATGTAACATTAATATGTAATTTGTAATTAACATTTTGAAAAAAGGCTTGTTCCCATTCTCTCACACTCGACCATGCCTTACATAAGCTATAAATGTAGGCAATCAATGTCAAGACAATCTCTTGATATGTTACAGATACTGATGAGTGTGTTGAAGAGACACACGACTGCGGGGGAAATTCTCTCTGCAACAACACGGTCGGTGGCTACGAATGTGTTTGTGAAGACGGATACTCTCCTTTGGACGGCAGAAATGTTAACTGCACGGGTGAGTAATTATTATTATAGAGAGAGAGACATGAGCTAGTGATGATGTGGAGCAGTGCTTTGAGTTATACCGTTTGTTGATCAGGCATGCACTCTTGCTTATTAAACACTCTACTGCCTTATGGAGTACCAACCTCCAAACTTGAAGCACAATTAGATGTGGCGATTGGACTAATACCCTCTCTCTTGGGGGACAATTAGTGGCTTATGAGTGCTAATTAACGCTGTAATCCCAATGCCGACCTTGGACCACTGTACGTTTGAATTGCCACTCATATGTTCCTCAGGGCTTGTACCTACATCAGTAACTCTTCCTGTAACTGCTTCAATTACTGCGGAATTTGCTGCTCTGGAATTTGCTGCTCTGGACACTGCTTCAGAAACTATTTCAATGGATGTTTTGGGGACCCCGCGACCAGCACGGGAAGTAAGAGAGCCAGGTCTGACAGTGGGGCTGACCCTGGCGTTAATTCTGACGCTGTTGCTAGTAGTACTGGTGACTGCCTTATCACTCTTCATTGCATGGAGGAGACACAAGAGACAGAGGTGTGTTGACTTGTTTTTTATTTACTCCTAGCTGCTTAGGTGCCATTAGGGTTAATACATATATATACCTCCATAAGGGAGTACAGGAGTACGTAGGTTGTAAGGAAGTACCTCGAGTGTCATGATCTCAAATGATTTGAATGTTTATTGACATCCCAGGAACCCTAGTGTTGTGTAGCTATATCATATGCTAGACAGGCTTCCCTTGTGGCAAGATCCCCGCAAAGCAAATAGAATGAGGATACATACCTCAATACCTTGCTACGTATGATGTAGTAAGCATGTAGGAATCCATTCACTAATGGCGGCATTTCCCGATCGTAATTTCTGAAGCTGTCTAAATACGGAAACAGGCAGGGAACTATCTCTGCCCTTGTTCCGCCTATTATAAATAAGTGGGACTATAAGACTATAAGTGCCTTCACGACACACAAGAGTGCTCGTAACTCTCACAAGGTCCCACTGCCAAGTTTTTCAAGTGGTGACCCACCTACACGATAAGCTCACTTATCCTTTGGTTTTTCTGTAGTGCCTGTATACCATAGTTGAGGCAGACTTTTTGTGTATTAAAGGTTTCCTATACTACAGAGTACTATATGTACAATGCACAGAGCCCATATCTCAGCCACAGCAGATCAGTCCATGATAGGTTGTGTAAACTTCCTCAATCCTGCATCATCACAATTCCAGGCTTCTTGTGTGATGATGCACTGCAGTATAATATTATAGGTGCATGAAATCTTCAGTGAAAGGAAACACACATTTCGTGGGTCAGTGCTTGACAGGAAAGAGCCAACATCCCATAAGCCCTACTGAATGCCTGGTTTTAAATGCTGCCTCCTACCTTTTTGATATGGCCTAAAACACACACACACACACACACACACACACCCTACTGGAGCTTGGTTTAATTGCTGTAAACACTTCATCATGTTAGTCTACGATATTCATGGCTTTCTTTTGCTTTCTCTTTGATGTGGAGCTTAACACAACAGCAGAATAGGCCTGTATAAAGTCCCTTGGTCCTGGCTGTCATTGTGTCATTCCTTGCTGTGGTGGGCACACTTATCCAATCATTAGATCTTTGATCTCTTTCATTTCTTTTCAGAGCGAGGAGGTTCAGACACTATAAGTTTAATGTGGAATCTGTAAGTTGCTTACTACATGAAAGTAATTATGTACACAGGAAGGAAGAGGCTAGGCTAGGATATCACATTGTCAGGGCTATTTTACCACAATCTGCATGTTTGTGCAGTGAAATGCAGATGGCAGACTGTAATATTCATCGTGATGTCACTTTATTTTGCAAACACACACCTTTTTAATGAACATTGGATAATTTAGAATCCCTGCTACCATCTGTCAAACAGACCAATTGTTTTTCTCTAGTTGACTAGCTAAAGCTAGAACTTTTCACAACACTATAGTCAATACTCTAGTGTTTTCCACAATGTAGTCTATATATATATATATACGTCTCGTTTCTGCAGAAACTGGACGTGATGTACGACCCGGGAGTCCTCAAACTGGACGCAACGTTCACAGTCCACAGCTCAGTCGGGAGCATTTTCCACGAACTCACCTACGAACGAGAGATGTGTTCTTATTCCCCCACCCCGCACACCCCTGTCGTAAAAGATGAAACGAGAATCAAAAACAAGGCAGCTGAGGGGGACGACGCTGGTGCTGCTGATACAGACGTGGCACACGCAGAGAAGAAGAACGAGGGAGATGAAGAGAGCAATAGCTCTAGCTTGGAAAGTGGGAAGGGGACGAACAGCGAGAGCCCCAGGCAATCATTCCTCGTTAATGCTGCCTCGGGAGGTGACGACAACTCGTGTCCCCTCTCGCCATCTAGTATAGCTCTGGAACTGGGCACCAATGACAGCAACAGTAGCAGTGGGAGAAGTCGAGCTGCGTCCCTGCGGCAGAGTTGTGGCGACGCACGCTCCACCGTGGGCTACGTCTCAGAAACTACAAACGGTTTATCGCACACCACCGGCAGTGGTGGCGGGGCAACAATAACCAGTAATCAATGGGAAATCCCCGTATTTGAGGACCTAACATGGCAGCCCTCTCCGGCCAACGTGGACAGCGGCGTGGAATTTCGTGCAACAGGATACGTCTCTGAACCAAATGAGTTACGAGTCACTTCAACCTTCTCGGGTGGACCTGCTACTCCACTCCCCACAGGGAAAGAAGACTGTCAAATGGGCACTAGTGGACACAGAAACCTCTGGTCTCGTTACACTTCTGATTCCAGTGGTGGTGTGGGGTGTCCTAGCGGATACGTTACCAGGGAGACCACTATGACTGTCAGAGAACGCGAACAACAACCAGCACAACAACCAGCACATCCGCCAGGTAAACAAATGACACATGAGACAAGTGCAGAGCGGACAAGGCGACAACAACAACAACATAGGATTGAACATCAAGAGTGCAGCGAACAGCACAATATACAGCAAAAGCAACACCAAATTGAACAACAACAACAACAACGGCAACAAAACCAACAACAAGCCAGAATTGAGAGGGCAGTGTCGTCCCTCTCGCTCAATATCATCACAGATCTCGAGCAAGCCTTCCCGCTCGCCTCACGTTTTGCCTCCTACGAGAGCCTGTACCTCTCCGAGAGCCTACCCCAATTAATGCCCACCAAGCCCGACTTTCCACCTCTTGGCCTCGGCAGCACCACGGCAGAGGGGAGGGAAGAGGAGCAGGTGCTGGATACGTGGACGATAACCTCAGCACTACTCTTTTTGTCCAACCTGACACCGACTCACCTCTTAACCCGCACCCACTGCTCAACTGACCACCAATAATATTGAAGATAGCACACGTATAAGGACATCAGGGCATACACGGCAATATGGCGTATCTCCCTACACCCCACATCTAAGCGATTCACCCACTCTGTTTTCGCAGAGTCGCCACAACCCTCCTGATCCGGTTCCCTTTGAAAAGAGCGCAGACCTGGTGCAACCTACTCGGCCAGTTGCGTGACTATATAAACCTCGAAAACAACCTTCGTACTCCCAAATCGTCTCCTCCAAACGGCAACATTACTCTTCCGGGGGATTCGAAGACAGTTTCCACAGACGCCGTTGGCATCTCAGACACAGTCGAGAGGAGGAGGGAGTGCGTGGTTGTGTGTGACAGTGAGCCGTGCAGCCGTACTTCATCTCCAGGGATGGGGTCCGGTTTAGACGACCTCTTCAGTGACGAAAACACGGGCGAGAGAGGGTTTGCCAATATTCTATTCGGGCTGGAAACTTCAGTTTCTGAAGATTATGTATAGTCCAGCAACCTGGTCTATTTCTCATAGGAGTGCTGTCATGTCATCGTGTATCATCTGTCATCAAACAAACTTCAATGGAGTTGTGTCATTTCAAAAGTCAGTTTCTTAATAAAATTTTTAACCGCTGTCTCTGCAACTTTATTACATCACGTAGTGCAGTTTAAAAGCAGTATAATGCTCCATGGCTTGCTTGCATTCGCTCGTCAAATACACAATACTCGTGCCCCTTAAATCATATCACCATACCACAGTCTGTCCTGCTGGATCTTCGTGGAAAATACTAAATTAGAGGAAACCTTAGTAGGACATCAAGCAGCTACACCAAATCTAAAAAGAAAGGGATGCAGCCCTTTCGGCGAGATTCCTTCCTGACCGAGGAAGCCAGTGAAACTATGGGAACAGCTCAAATAGATGCATCATCGACACCAAAGGATATAATGGCCCTAAACTTATGAGGGAAATGATTTTCAAGCTCTTATTTCCTTGTACTGAGGCCAGTAAAACCTGAGTATGGCAAATTCTGCACTAGAAGCAACCACAATAGTTATCCTTTTATTAACCTCTTATGTACGTACGTATTAATTTTGACAAAGCTCGGGTTTCACTCATAATTAAGGAATAACGGGACAGAAAAGGTGATAGAAGCAAAGAACATAATGAACTATTTGGTTATTTCATAAGTCTGCAAGTTTATAGCGTGGTGATGTAATTTCCTTGGAGAAACCAAGGTATACATACTACTATCTGACTACTATAATAGCCCTGCACAGTTGCAAATCCATATGCAACAGTTACCAACTTTGCACACACAATGGTTGATGGAAGAGACCAAAATTGTGTGCATTTTTCCTAGCCCAAACTCTTGCCATGGTAACCGCTCTGGAGTATGCTCAGGTCAGACTATTGATGACCAGTTCATGTCAGTTTTGGATTGTGGAGGATTGAGATCATACTGTTATGACATCTGTCATTACAATAATATTATTATACATTCCGCTATATGTAGTAGGGTATAGAGTAATTGTGTCTGTCTCACTTTTAGGTGCCACAACTCATACCTCCAGACAGTGTATTGGTGACCCAGTCTCAGTTCTGCCCTGCATGCTTATAAACATTTCTCATTGCTAGCTTTGAATGTCAGTGTTTTGAGCCTGCTTATATACAATTCGATAGGTTAACATTATAATAATAGTATGACAGTCCATCTCACAATAGCATTCTTAAGGATGAAGAAAGATGCACCAAACCACAATTTACCTTTTAAAATCATTATATTATATAGCGGCCTCTGACCTTTTGTGAGGGGTGATGTAAAATGTAAGGATGACATGTCATGTCATAAAAGACACTTTAACCCTTTGGGCGCCATAGGTGTCTCCTTAAATAAGCAGAAATTGATGTAAAACATATTAGCGCCTAGTATTATAGCCATATATAAATTCTTATGCACTTATGGAGGCTCTGTGCATATATGTAAATGGCGCCCAAAAGGTTAACCCACCGCCCAAGTTCTCAAGGCTGGGCACCTGGTGTCCTACCTTGTTGTGTGCAACTGTGTCGTGTGTACTTGGGTGGAGGATGACTTCTGGTTTTCTATTGGCTAGTATGCTATAAATCTTTTCATGTATATAATTTTGCCTCAGAGGTTTGTTCTAGAGCTCTCTTGTGTATAGCACAGAGGATTGACTGGACTACAACAGTCTGGACTATTCCCATGGCACTATATACAGAGCTTCTGAATCTCACTGTGGTAGTCCACTGACAACATATGAGCACTTTCTTGGTAAAGACTAAACGCTTTGGCTCACTATAATCTGGGCGTAGTACAATAATAAATAGCTAAAAGAGACGGTAATTGAACCACAGAGTCTGACTGCAGTGGCACACTGGAGGATGCTCTAGAACTTCAGGAGGACCTAACTATGTAGTTTACTCTTCATGATGATTGAGGAAATGAATGCCATGTGCACTTGGCAACTTTATAGCACTGGGGAATTTGAGCATCTAAGTATTCCTTTTGGCCAACTAAATTTAAGACTCTCTCTTGAAGAGTAAGCACATCTATGGACAATGTTTGCTGCCTATATAATTATAATTATAGGCAGCTATTCCATAAGTAACATCTGAATAATACACAAAGTAAGTGGGGCTTGGTAAATTGCCAGCAGACTGTAGAGCGCCCCCTCCCCACAGGCGTGATGCAACAAATATGGTTTAATGCATGAACTATGGATGGAGCACGCACGTTTCGTGGAATATGCATACAATTCCTGGTTGGTTTGGCTAGGGCCTAGGGTTGGCACAATATACAATATAAGGGTCGTGAGGATATGGTGGTCTTTGTACAACGGAATTGTAAAGCCGACATACATTACAGCAAAGTATATATATAATAGTCTGATGTCCTTATTCTCAGCAGAGGGCCAATGCATAATAATATGCTGACTTGTAAGATAGTGATTGTAATTGACTCGATTATATATAGAGGAAGTATTGTGGTCACGAAATACTTTAATTTTGCTGCAAGGGTCAGCCTTGCATCGCCCACACTGACCATGTGTAATTATTATATATTCGTTAGCGAAATATTCGTCTCCAGTTTGCACAACGTCCCAAAAAAACATACCTTACAAAAATAAACAGACCGAACATAAAAGATGCATAAAACATAGACATGCATTTTCCGGTCAGAATGATGGCTTGATACACTGCTGCTTATACTGAGTATGTTAATTACAAAAATGCAGTTGTTGCTACACTGCTGCTTATACTGAGTATGTTAATTACAAAAATGCAGTTGTTGCTACACTGCTGCTTATACTGAGTATGTTAATTACAAAAATGCTATTGATGCTACACTGCTGCTTATACTGAGTATGTTAATTACAAAAATGCAGTTGTTGCTATATTACATCATGAAAGTCTTTTATAAATGCCCACGACTCTCCCGTCGGTCGGGGTGATATGATACACGTCTTTGAGTTCTCGGATGAAGAACGGAATGATTGCCAACCAGCAGAGACCAATCTCAGACAGAAACAGGCAAATCAGAGCTGCCACGAGGTAGGTCAGAAGTCCCGCCTTGTACTGCAGCACTGTTTGGACCTTAAGGAACAGGAACCAGAGAAAACATTTTCGTACATTATGTTTTTTCCCCTTCTCTCATTCATTAACCCTCGGCGCGCATGCGCAGCGAGGGTTACGGTAGTTGGTCTGTGTGTGTGTGTGTGTGTGTCTGTCCGCGACTATTCTCGCACTACAGGCTACGAGGTGGCTTATGAGCGATATCAACAGCTTCAGCGGTACATGTGCTAGAAAAGTAAAATGGCGATTTTGCTGAAACAACTGCGTTCGAGAGCGACAAACTGGCACGGTCGCGGACAGCGTTGCGTGGCCCAACCCATCAATAAGCGGTGCGCATGCGTGTATTAGACGCGACCTGATCCGCTTGCTCTGTGTACCTTGGAGGCACAAGAAGCCACAGCGAAGGGTGTGTATCGACTCCCGCATGCTATCTACTACTGTAGCTTTCCCGTGTCAGACGCTCTGCGAGCTATTAGCGGTACCGCGCATGCGCAGTTCGCCGAGGGTCTGCACTTAGTGCTTTTCATTTTATTTTGTGTACTTGTTAGTCATTTATGATTAAAAAAATTGCGTACATTATCACAGCGGTCATCCTTTGCAGCATTATAGCAATTTTTTTCCCCTTCTCCCGGTTCCCTATTTATTTTATTATGTGTACTTGTTAGTCATGCATTTATGATTAACTGTGTGTTTATATACCTGTTGTCCGTTGCTGTCGGTGACAGTGACAGGGTAGTCTCTGAATGTCTGAGTGTTGACAGTGACCACTGGCTGAGTTACCACCACCGTCGACTGGACAGGAGGAGCCTGAGAACAGGGTAAGACAGATGGAGGAGGGAGGAGGGAGGAGGGAGGAGAGAGGGGAAGGAGGGAGGAGAGAGGAGGGAGGAGGGAGGAGAGAGGAGGGAGGAGGGAGGAGAGAGGAGGGAGGAGGGAGGAGGGAGGAGGGAGGAAGGAGGAGGGAGGAGGGAGGAAGGAGAGAGGGGAAGGAGAGAGGAGGGAGGAGGAAGGAGGGAGGAGGGAGGAAGGAGGAGGGAGGAGGGAGGAAGGAGGAGGGAGGAGGGAGGAAGGAGAGAGGGGAAGGAGGGAGGAGCCTCTGTTTTTAGTAACAATTTGAGAGCGACTCAAGCCTAACTAGTCGTCTCAATGCCGGAATGTTCTCTCTTTATCTATTTTTTATGTGACGGGCACTGCACATTATCGTAATATTTTACATGATTCTAAATACGCGTGAAACGTGCAACAAAACAGAACCGCTCACTCCGCTAGTAACAATACTGGCGGCTATAGCATTACTTTAAAATGTTTTGGGCCACCCTCTATGGAGCAGTGACAAGACTCCACTTAAACATATTTAGTCATCTAATAGTAGTACCTGGACCGGTGGTTGATACATGTATGGCGGAGGTTGGGGGTAAGCCTGCAGAGAGAGATGGGGAGAGAGACAGAGTGAATTCAGTACAGCCTCTCAGGTATTGTCCCTCACCTGAGTCTGCTGTGGATGAGAGTAGGCCTGCTGACAGGGAAATGAATGAATCGCAGTGTAAATACACAAGTTAAATGTATTCATAAAACAAGGGTACTATAATAATTATTAGAGCTGCTGAATGTGCACGACATGTGTATGCCTGAGCTGTTGGTTTGCACGCTGCCCAGTTCTTGTATATACACCGAGAAAAAAGAATAGAGTTGTCCTGGGCAGCCTTGTATGTTTGCTTTTGCCTTGTGTTTACACTCGGCTCTTGATTCATGCATACTTCACCTGAGCTCCCTGCACCGGGTAGACAGGGTTCTGTACCGGAGGGTAGCCCTGAAAGGGTTAAATGACATTGTGTTGAAAGTATCCATTACTATGTACACAGCTATATACCCACCCACCGTACGAAAATGACAAACAAAGTTGAAACCTAGTTAGGTATGCTTACATAGCCAGGCTAAAACAATGTTTATACATACACCAGTATGCCACTTTATTGGTGAGCGAAGAGAGCCCACCACCTGACCTAACCCGGGATTTTCCCATCTCTCTGTAACAGTTAACCGGCACATGCCGTAGTGTTTACGTGATTCTAAATATGCACAAATCAGGCACGAAATATTGAAATCCTCCAGTAATGATAAAACGTGTGGTGGAAGAATAACTCTATCGAACGACTTACCGGTGCAGAGGAGGGTGGATAGGCTGACATGGTGACACTTAGGAGACGGAGTCTGATGGAGAGAGGAGAGAGAGGGAGAGAGAGGGAGAGAAAGGGAGAGAGAGGGAGAGAAAGGGAGAGAGAGGGAGAGAAAGGGAGAGAGAGGGAGGTGAAGGAGTCACAGAATGAAGTATGTAGTGTGTCATAAAAGTGGACATAAAAACTATTTTCTTTCTTTTGCGTGTACGTTGTGCATACTTCAGACGTGACACCAGGTGCAAGATACGTTGCATTGCTGACATTCCTGACACCATCCACCGCTGCTACATGTAGCTCTATGGTTACCAACCAACCAACCAGCTACCACAACGGAGACTCATACCGACAACCTGTACTGATTGTCTGTTCAATAATATCTATAAACCCGTGCGCCCAAAACTAGAGCACAAGGTGTAACAGCAGCATTCAATAACATGGAACCCTCTCATTCAGCTCTCTATAAACAAAGACTCGATGTCAAATGGTGTCGTGCAGCATCATCTATTGAGCAGGCCCAACATCACCAGTTAAGACGTCCGTGCTACATACCACGCACAGTAATCATCACCTCCTCTTTGTCTCCATAGCTAGGATCATATGCACACAAGTACTACTGGTACTGGACTAAGAGGTGACGGTATATAGTCCAGCCCAGCTCGAGTCCAGATCAAAATTTCATTATGTGATCATGTAAGGACCAGCTCAACAAAGCCACATGCCATGATATTAGAGAGCGCAGCAGCGGATAAGTAGAGCTGTTTGTAGCTAGTGTTCAATACAAACCAGCCGTAGCCTTTGTTTACAGTGGAGTTGACGGGTTTGGAGCCCAGCAGTCTACTACCTGCATTCGTCCTGTTTTAGCATTCGTCTCCTGTGAAGCACTCCTAGCTAATTGACCGCGCATGCAGGCCTTGGCGTCGCTGTAAGTGTAGGAGAATGCGCAGAACGTACCTTATTTCTCTCACTGTGCAACACCACCAGGCAGAGCAACCGCCGCCGTCTCTAGTCGCACGCGTAATGAAACTCCTCCCACCGAGATGAGTGGGTGGGGTATGAACCCGAACGATTTGCGCATGCGCACAATTTGTGACGATGCGGCGCGCAGGATCATGAATCGTCATCTACAGTCTTCACAAGCACCTCTATCTTGCAGACACACTCATTTTTAGTTACCCCGTGTTTATTTCTTGCTCATGCACGTTTCAGCGAACGCTTCCCAGAGCGTGCGAGGATGCTCCGTCGGAATTCTGTCGGGTGTGCGTTCCGTAGAGTATGCGTTCAGCGCACGGGGTAAATAATTTCGCCCCGAAAGACGGTCTTGCTCCGCTTAGACGACTAGGAGAATGCTCGCTTTGCAGCCGTGGACGAGTAGAACGAGAGTCGTTTCTTCGAGCGACTCCACATCGTCCTACTGCGCATGCGTATGCGATTCTGTTGCACAAGTGCTGCCAGTGACTTCCTAAATGCAAAGCAAGTTTCCAGTGATAAACTATAACAAATAGCTATAATAACTGGAGGTCTACTGATTACACTGGAGAATTCCAAGAATGCCAACACAGCAGATACAAGTGAGTATGGCACAGCAGCACTCAGCAGTCTGGTCGTCACACTCAATCTTACTACAGAGAGAACTGCAGCAATGCCCCACACTTGTCAACCCGTCACTACAAAATTCACAGTTCGATTCACGACACGACGAACAACAGGTCTTAAAAAAGTTGCAGCAGTCTGCATTGCCACTGCTGCAACAGTCCGCATTGCCACTGCTGCAGCAGTTGTCTTTATAGCAGGGTCCATCACAGCTCCCTGGTTTGCAATTCCAGTCCCCTCCACAGAATGGGCAGCAGCAGCAACAAGTTGAGGACTGTATAATAATTATAGACATTTATTACGAGTATATAATCAGTGGGAAAATGTCACTGAAACAAGTTGGTTTGGGACTATAAAAGTGACTGACTCTATAATGTAATTTTCAGGTTCGGACACAAACCTAGTAGCTATGCATTATGTGCCAGCAGAAAAGGTATATACATGCATTGCTGTTTGACAAGCATGTATCAGAGCGTCGGTCGGTAGACGCTCTATATAGGGATGACACGAGTGAAATCTCACGTGATCCGCGTACAAAACGCCTCAAAACTCAGCGAGAATGACTCACCATGGCTTCAAAATCACTAGCAATAGTCTAGAGGCCAATACCTAGCTATACATATGCCCCAAGACTTCTTACGTGCCCTCAGTTCCCCACCAGAGAATTCGCTCTTACGCGATTTCGCGATTTTCGTGTCATTATCATCATATTCTTCATCTTCTTCTTCTTCTTCAGACCCGCTAGCTCCTTACCGGAAGCAGTTGAAGCGTTGATTTTTTCACAGAACGTCTCCAAATTTTCCGGAGGTGTGCACGCATATCAAGCGATCGCTTGTTTCTTGCCGCAAGTCACTACGGTAGATCATTGAGCTCTTCCACAATAGTCACTGAACAACGCCATTTGCTGCTCAGTGAGCCGCATGCGCCGCGCCGAGGAGGACGTTTCCCCAAAATGCGCGGTGCGCGCGCATTACTATAGCGTGCGTGAACCACACTAAGCCAGGAAGCCTGCAGAGGAATTCTTATCCTCCAGTGCCTTATGTAAGTCAGTATACACATTTTTAACTGGCTATCTTGCGTTTTGCTGTTGATTTGCACGAGGAGCAACTTCGCAGTGTGCGCCGTGTTAGCTATACGCGGTCCTTGCACAGCGCCTTCATTCTTTGTCCCCCAGGTTATATATAGCTATCATTGTAGTCTGATTACTGAAGCCTGCCTATGAAAGCACCCCACCATATATGTGCCACACCCTAATTGCATCCTTGTTGGAGACACTACGCATACACCCTGCTTCAGGTAGGAGCAGCCCATTAGCTTCTGCTTTCAACAGTTTATCTCACAACACCCCATGAACATCAAAGTGACTGAAATGCAGTGTTTCATAAGGTGTGAAAAATAGTGGAAACAAGTGGAAAAATCATTTCTTCAAAATGAAAGGGGGATATAGGGATGGCTTGAAGCACCAAAAAGGAATAAACAAGGGATCATTACACAGCAAAGATGCACAAAGCTACATGACACCATCCCTATATCTTTGTATTATTGTTCACAACCAATTTCGCCATACTGACATATTTCTCCCTAATTGGGAAAGAGGTCGTCCAGCCGCGCTTGACGTCTCCGTCATTTCCACACTCTGCAACAGCTTACCTTCAAGTAAAGTTTAATATGAGACAAAGATATAGGGATGGTGTCATGTAGCTTTGTGCATCTTTGCTGTGTAATGACCCCTTGTTTCTTCCTTTTTGGTGCTTCAAGCCATCCCTATATCCCCCTTTCATTTTGAAGAAATGATTTTTCCACTTGTATATGCACGCTGGTTCCAAAACCGGCAAGGAATAAAGGTATTAGCTACAGCTGAACGCTGGCTGTGATTGCTACCTGCTCAAGATTTCCGCCGACGGCGACGTCATGAAGATCGGTAGGGAAATCCTGTAGGTTGTTGCATCGTAGTTAGAACTGTTGGAGCCACTGCTATTGCTACCACTCCGTTGGAACTGCTCGTCCCTGGATATCGTTGCGTAATTATATAGTGATAGGGTAAGTTTCGAAATAGGTAGCGGTAGGAAGCTCACGGGGACGTATGCTTGCTTAGTTTCCTTTTCTTTTTCTTTCGAGGGCTGGGGATCGCCGTTCCCTTCGCTGTCAGTCGACATACCCTCGCCGGACACGCTCCACACCACACCTTGTTGTTTGCGCATGCGCCGAATGCACCGCGGACGCTACGCTGATGTCTAACATCTGCAGCTACCAAGTGGAGCAGGGAATATCAGAAAAATCGCAGGGGTTTGTGTTGCGTCGAGAAACCATAGCTAGCTCTGTAGTCCGAACGCCGAACGCATCCTCTACGGAACCGCACACACGTTAGTGATGATATAAGTTACCAGGGCCCGCTACGAGGGCATTCACAGTCATTGTGCGCAAGCACTGCTGATGAGGAACTTGACACATTATGAATCAAACTAGCTAGTGCTATCTTTTCTGCGCCTATCCCCCCCCTCCTAGCCACCGTA